CAATATGATCAGAAACAACAGAGCAAGGTCAACAGTCTGACGTCAAAAACAGCGTCTCTAGAATCACAGGTGCGAAACCACACTAATGAAATAAACGGTCTCCAAACCAGATTGCTGATCGAGCAGTCTAAAGTGAGTAAGGTGGACAAAGATATCACAGTCGTGCACGATGCTCTTGCACAGTTTAGGAAAACAACCCTGCCCAAAATGAACCAAATAGACAGTATGTATAAACCATATTCAAATTTTCTTATTGCTGTTATTATGTTTTTAATGTTCGTTTTTTTATTCATTTTTTCAGGAAATTATTCTTTTAAATATTGAACCATTTTAAAAATTTCAGTAACACTTAGTGGAGCTGGACTGTTTGATAAAATACGACAAATTTATCATATAATAATTCAATACATTTTTTTTTTTCATAGGGCTTACACAGCTAACTCAACTTAATATTTATCTTGAGGCATTATAATGACTTAAATTGGTTTTTACTTTTTTATCATATCGCATTATTTTCCTATATTGCTATGATTCTGAAAAAACTGCCTTCGTTTTATGCTAACTCTATAGTATATAACTTAAAGAAACTCCACTAAGGTCAAAACGTCTAAAAGAAAAATGAAAATATAAATTTTACAAAAATCAAAAGACGTACGTGAGATGAAAAACAAAACTGCTAAGGATAGTAATGAAATATTCAGAATTCAATTGAAAACCGTAAGATAGTGCAATTTTTAGTCCGATTTGAGTGAAAAGAGTTACAACATTTGCACAATAAAAAATAATTTAGCCGCGTCACGACAAAACCAACATAATGGGTTTGCGACCAGCATGGATCCAGACCAGCCTGCGCATCCGCGCATTCTGATCAGGATCCATGCTGTTCGCTATCAGTTTCTCTACTTGTTATACGGTTTGTAAGCGAACATCATTGATCCTGATCAGACTGCGCGGATGCGCAGGCTGGTCTGGATCCATGCTGGTCGCAAACGCACTATGATGGGTTTTGTCGTGACGCGGCTAAATTATTCTGGTAAAACGGGGTGAGAAACAAATTATTGGTTTAGACCAACATCTGACAGTATACAAATCCGGGAATATTTCCAGTCCCGTCATGTCGAAATGAATCAGTGGAGTCCCTTTAACTTAAGTCATTTTATCATATATTGTCAATCGATGATGACGTGTCGATGATGACACTGATTTAAGTGGGAAAATGTAATACATGTATATTATAATATATTCAAGTGTTTTGTTGAAAACGTATTTTGATATGTGGTGCTCAATATGTTTTAAGTAACACGATAAGTCTGAATACACCGATGAATTGTGTATTGCATAATTATATGAAATTTATCAAGTGACGCAAGTAAAATGGAAAAATCTGCTAAGTTTAATAATAAATACCCTCAGACCAATAGGTAGTGCAATTCTGTGATAAGCGTTGCAAGGCATTAATGAGCCGCGTCACGACAAAACCAACATAATGGGTTTGCGACCAGCATGGACCCAGACCAGCCTGCGCATCCGCGCAGTCTGATCAGGATCCATGATGTTCGCTTACAAACCCTATAGCAAGTAGAGAAACTGATAGCGAACAGCATGGATCCTGATCAGACTGCGCGGATGCGCAGGCTGGTCTGGATCCATGCTGGTCGCAAACGCATTGCGTTAGTTTTGTCGTGACGCGGCTCATTTCTTTTTTGGGTCATTTTGCACAATAAAAATAATCATTCTGGTAAAATGGGATTAGGAAACGACCTGAAAACTTGCATATACAAGTTATTGATTTAGACCTTTATCAAATGGAACACAAGTCTTGGAAAATCTTTCCAGTCAAATTATGCAAAGGAACATCATTGTAAGAGCGTTACACGAGAGACAAAGTGTTTAAAATGATAATATCTTTAATACGTATTGTCTTACTATAAAAGCAGCAATTTTGAATAAATGAAATGATTTATTGATTAATTAATTAGTAAATTAATTAATTAATTAATTAATTAATTATTAATTTATTATCGATTGATTGATTGATTGATTGATTGATTGATTTATATCTATTTAATAATCTAAATATACTTCATCGTTAATGGACATCACCAAGTACTTAGTACTTATTGATATTTTCTGAGATTTCAGTTTAGAGCCATAATTACGAATACAATAGATTTGTAACTTGTGCAAATACTACCAATATGATCAGATGTATTCTGAAATAATAATAATAATAATAATAATAATAATAATAATAATAATAATAATAATAATAATAACAACAACAACAACAACAACAACAACAACAACAACAACAACAACAACAACAACAATAATAATAATAATAATAATAATAATAATAATAATAAAGTAATAATATAGACATTAAAATTGTAACGCAAAGGGTTTTAAAATGTAACTATTTTACTTTTATTTACTAAAAGAACTGGAAAAATTATGAAGATATATATGTGGTCATTTTCCTCAAGGTGATGTCCAGAAACTGACAACAAACTTGACCACCATCGATGCAAGTGTCAAGAGAGTAGCAAAGACGGCCTTTAATTTGGTGATGCAAGTAGGACAAGATAGTGCTAAACTTACAAGCTTAGACACACAGGTAATTTAATGCAAGTAGGACAAGATAGTGCTAAACTTACAAGCTTAGACACACAGGTAATTTAATGCAAGTAGGACAAGATAGTGCTAAACTTACAGCCTTAGACACCAAGGTAATTTAAGTAATGTATATAAATGTTCCGGCAAATACTCCTTTATAAAGACGTGCAAATTCCAAAAATAATTACATACATAGTTTGTTTTAATATACCACTATTAGAAGAGGTTTCATGCAGACACTTATATCACTTTACAAGTATATAACAAATGTGTGACACCAAGCTATACTTATTGAACTGTAAATTATTAACCAGAACTTCATTGTTTGTTGTTATTTTTTTCATCTTTCGTACTAGTCAAACCAGCTGAAGACAGACGTTAAGAAAATAGAGACTGATCTAACATCACAGAAGAACGAAATAAGGAACATCCAGAGCGGAATGACTTCATTGAAAAATGCCATACCTCTAGCTGAGCTAACACAGATGAACAATAGCGTTCTTGACGTATTAAATGCAGTGTCTACTGGAAAAACACCAACCAAAAAGCAGCTTCAAGACCTTACACAGGCTATAACTGCTATCAAAAATAAACTTGGATCAATCAGCACTGGTCCCTCGTCCGGATAAGTGTCGACTGATGAATATTGTATAAGAAGTGGTATACCTAGCTTTAAAAGGAGACAATTTGTTTAATTTATTACTACATATATTGTTGTCAAAATTATTACACAGAGTTAGACAAGGGATTTTTTTTTCGTTGTCTCAAAAACTGGTTTATCACCGCAATTTGAATTCTTTGGGCATTTAAAGAATAATGTAAGAATAATTCCGATTGTGACCAAGGGGATAAGGATTTATTTCAATATAATTTGAAACTTTGACAGATAACTCTTCATTTTGATGTATAAAAATACTACTGCTGAATGGCTGATGTGACCCTATTTATTGAACAATAAGCTAAAACTTGATACTTAACATTCTCTTGAAAATATTTCAGCAGAAATACTTTAACGGTTATCTGTATTCGATTTTTTCATGATTGAATGCAATTTAGATTTTTGCAACCTTCGTTGGGAGAAGATTACAGTATATAATTTGTCGATGAGTCTTTAAACCAATTATGCCTGTATCATTTTGATAAACAGTTTTTTCTCATGTTTCATTAAAAAAGAAGCCATATAAATGGTATTGTTTCTTCGTTTGATTTGTTGTTATTTACCATACAGAAGAAGGAACAATTATATATATATAATACATAACATACATTTGTATAGGTATTGTAAACTACCGTACTTCATGTCATGTTATTGAAAAGATCTTATTAACGGAACAAAGTCCTTTGCAATATCCATCCAGTCACACAAACCCATCGGAAAGAAAGGCACCTAATAGGGTAAATATACTTGTTCAATCATTTAAATGTATTACCTGATTGGACATAGGCATGGTAAACAATGACCACTATTCAAATTAAAGTGAAAAAAAAACATGTTTCAAACAACTCTGAACAAAGTATGATCTAAAGAGATTAAAACTTGTAAAAAATGAAAGTTATCAAGGTATGATCTGAAATATGAATTCATACTGTGATACTTGAACGCGACCGTTTGAAGATTATTTGGAAATATAAAGTATTCCACTAGAGCACATGCGTACTGTCTTGATTAAAACAACAATGTCATAATAATGCCAATTTCCAATGATCATTGTTATTCGAGAGACTTTCTTTTATTTAATTTTTGAAACTTTGCTCTAATACAGAATCTACCAATCACTGCCAATTAAAAAGATCAAATGGTTTGACGTATTACTTTTTTATTCACTTTGATAACTTGGTGGGAAATAACATGACATATATACGCGTTAAAATATGCAATTGGAGAAGATATGTATTGGACATGCTATTTTAACGTTTTAGTGATCCTTCCTTTAATGCTCAGCTTCTTATTGGCACATGCTAGTATTCTGTATTTGGTAAAGCAAAACTCTCCAGTCAGATCATACATGTTAACTTCAGAGCAATTGTATGTGAATATGCATGTAATCTTAGTTGAATGAGGGTATATCCGGCTTCAGTTAGATACAAGGAGTACCGGTCCCGAACATGTGACCGTCATGCCCGTATAAAGTTAATGTCGATTCAATAGGGGTATTCGCCAAAGAAACGATTTTTGAGCCAAGAAATAGGTCACATGGGAAAAACAACATACAACAAGTACAAATGTTGCTACAATGCAGCAATTGAGAAGCTCCGCGCAAAAAATGCGCTCATTACAGATACCTTACCAAATTATTCCTACATTCAGATTAAGTACTATTGTAGATTTTTTCCGAATGTTTTGTAAACCATTTTTGGCATAATTATACTTATCTTATGCACTGTCCATAATTAAAAAGAGGGGAAAGATATTTAATATAAAAAATGCTTTCACTGACGCCTACCTGGTAAGGAAAGTACTTCCATTGAATACAAACAATACTTACAAGACTTGTAAATGTTATCTGACATGACTGTACTATGTTCTGTTTGTGTCACTACTGTAGTCAGTAACATAAGATGATAAAAATATCAAAGTCTGGTTTTTATTATTATAATTGTAACAAATATACAAATAGTAACCAAAGGGACTAATGTTATAATATAGTAGTATTACATGCATTTTTTGCATGTCAAATTAAAAAAAAATGGTTTCTTTCAATATTGAAAGTAGAACACACTCTGTAATGAAAAAATGGGATGAATTTCAAAAAGACCAAATTCAGGATTTTTTTTGTTTGTTGTACACGCGTTACATGGTGATACAGTATTTATCAATATAATAGAAGACTTTTACCTGAATTTTAGGCAGGTATGAGGAAATTCACTAACAGCATCTTCGTGCGAGTCAAAGATATAAAAGCTATTTGACATTGGTAATATAAAAAAAAAGTATTGTTAATTGATTTATTGGGAGATCAAAATATACTTTTGTTGAATTGCATAAAAAACATTACACTTCATGTTCAAACTGCAGATCAAAGTTTCTGTTGTTATAATGATATCTCTCTATAGCCAATGCTTAATGAGGGTCCATTCGCTCGTAAGGCCACAAAATGCAGCTTTCGTTGTCGAGTACGGACCCCCGGACATGTCACCAGTCATACCCTTAAAGCACAAAGTGGTATACTCTTCCAATAACGCAAATGAAATGTAACGTTATATACTAAAGTTTAATTATTTCAAAACAACCAATATATCAAACATTTAATTTCATAAATATAAATTAAGAATAATTATCAAAAGCAAAATTGTTAAAGTCTTATGCCTGAAATCTTCTTTATATTGACAAATTCGTTCACTAAGAGTATACTTGATATGCTGTGTGTAAATGTAATTCCAAATGTAAGAAATTATAATTTCATGTACTACTAAAAAAGGGAAATAACAAATTTATAACCTAAGTGTCAAAAATCAGAACATTTATATTCGAATTCATGTTCAGCTGCGAATCACCAATATAGAAATCGAAAGTTCTTGAATGCAGATTTATTTTTAGCTGTAAATCGAAGGGATTTTTGGATCAAATCCGGGCCCATGGACAAAAAAATAGTAAACACAAATAGCTCCGAGCAATAACAATTGGCTATAGTATGTTTGTATGTAATTTATAAGAGTCCATCCGCCCGTTAAGACAAAAACGCAGCTTTAACTATCGAGTACGGACCCCGGACATCTCACCACACATGCCTTTAGATATTTGATTTTTAAGCAAAATGTGGTTATAATTTCAATATCTATCGAGTATAACAAAAGAAATGATTTTTAGCCGGAAGAAGTTCACTGTACAGCGGTCAATAAGCACATAAACGCACAGTATCTAGTGTCAATAAAGAAGGTGGTTTGCCCTGAAAAGAGCTATTCTGTTTGTGTCAGCAAAGCACAGAAGAAAACGTTACTTTATAACTTTTACTTAAATATATCGAATTTTTATTTTTTAAATATCAAATGAATAACTCAATTAGGAAAATTTATTATCAAAATACATGTATGACATTGACAGTGTCACAAAACTGAAAGTTCTGCAGCTCGACCTGCCTTAATTCAAGGCGTAAATTTTATTCAGATTCGAAAAATAAAATAAAATGCAGACATGGGGATGCTTAAACAAAATGTTTAACTTATTAAGCTCTTTGTTCAAAGTTCTTCATTCTACTCACGCATGTTCTTTTTCTCAAACGTAGACGGCTGCCATTCCTTAATGAAAGAAGTAGACCACTACATTTGTAAATTTTTTGGAGCATTAAAAAGGACATGTGGAGCGTGTTATAATTACAAATATTATACTGCAGGCATGTGCGGTAAATCTATGATAACAAATATTCTTCTGAATAATTGGCTATATTGGCTATTAATTGTTAAGAAAGAAATGAGTCAAATGCCTTATTCTCGAAGTTTTCAACATTAAATGCCTGACAATGCTCATTTGGGTTCAGAGTGTGTACTGATTGTAATGATTGTAAATAATTATATGTGAGCCACAATCAGTGTTTATTTCTTTATACTTATAATCATTTATTATTAGACTCCATTATTAAAATTTCTGGGTGATTTTTTTAATGTCAACGGAAAAGAAATAAAACTATATCATTGTCTGTTTATCATTTAATGTTTTGATAAAATGAGTTTTCAAACCAATTTAATTAAAGGTTTGCAAGTCCTACAGTTAATTAAACTTTCAGTTTTGTGATATAAGTTCTGATAAACGGCTAGAAAAACAAACGAAGAAAAAAACTTAATGTTATTAATAATAATAAAATCTTAATTCAAGAAGGTAACGTATAAGTGTACAGAGTTAATAGAAAACTAAGATACATCTTATTTCATGGTTACACGTTACTCTAAGGTCGGCCTGAGGTCATTTTTAGACTCTCACAAGTCCAAAATTTTCTTGGAGATGAGGGGGTCTGCAGACCCCCTTCACCACCCCCCCCCCTTAACAGCAGGGGGCACATACCCCCTGGCACCCCTTGATCTATCTATTTGATAGGGGGTGGCGCAAAAAATGAACACTTTTTTAAACTCCATTCCTCAAAACGAAAACAAGTGTTTGGGGTCTAAATAGGGCATTTTTTTTCTCTTTTTAGGCCTTTAAAGGGAAGTGAAAAGGCGTGAAAAGACGTCTATATGAAGTAATAGGTTAAAATGGCCCTTTTTATTATCGCTTGAAAAGTAGCATAATATTTTGTTTTGGAACATTTCAGTATGTTTACGTACAAAATTCATGTGCGTTAGATAATAGACATTCGAGAACTACCTATATTTTTGGCATCAAAAGAATTTCAATTGTTTATAAATGTTACCAAAAAATATTATTCGATATAGCTTTATACACTGTAATACTTTCAGAAAAGTAGTAACCTTAAAGATCCTGTATGTTCTAATTGAGGTTGTATACCACACTTAACTGAAATTATATAAATGTATATTATTATGCTTATAAAACAATTTTCAAACATCGAAGAATATGTAAAATATGCATTGCAAATTTTTGTGAATATTATATGTTATCATTAAAATATATGCATTCATTTCTTACTGAAAAACTTGACATAGACTTTTAAGAAAATAATTGTTATTACCTTCCTTTATTTGCATGAAAGGTTAAATTCGGTTATTGTTTTTTTTATAAATAATGATTTTTGGAACTTAAAAAAACGGATAAATCTTAATTTTGATCATCATATTTATTATATAAAACCATAAAAAATTGTGTTACAGAATCTTTAAGCTGGCATTATGTAAAAATTTTGTTTTCAAAATGTGCGTTACAACATTGTCCATTGACTGAGGCGTGCACGTCGCGGAGAAGGTACACAACAGGTCAATGTGGTGGTGTTTGCGGTTTTGGTAGTTTTTACTCCGAATCACGGCAGAAAGCCACATTGAATTTACAATGGTAAAGTTCAACCACCGCACCGTTCCTCGGCAGGCTGTCAAACAGTTTACCATTACTAGTTGCCTTCAGTTTCGCAAGGTACTGATAACTTCTGTACATGCAGAGCAGGGGAACAATGCGAATGACCTTAGAAAGGATTTCACGGTCTATCACAACGAAAGTGACTTGCGCCATCCGGGAATCAACCCGGGTCACCCGATTCACAATCCAACGCTCTACCTATTGAGCTAACCAGACGATATACAGGTCAATGTCAATTCATCCTAGGAA